ATAGAGTCTGTCAGATCATATAGCCTAAGCCACAGGATTGCTTGCTTGATAGCCTGGGCTGGTTGCAGAGCCCTTTCCTGCTCTGGGACCCACTCAAAGATGGCAGTCTGTGATGTCACCTGATATGAGTTGGAGTAGTATCTCCAGGTGCAGAATATGGTGACTCAAGACATTGAGGCTTCCAGGCACTATGCTTTCTTCTTCCTTAGGAGGTACAAAATGCAGTAATTTGTCTTTCACTTTGGAGAAGATGTCTATGGTTACTGGACTTGATTGCTGAACTCCTGAAAATATTACAGACGTAGCAGGCTCCTGAATCTTTTCAGGATTAGCTCCAACCCTCAGGGGTACACATATCCTACCAAGGTCTGCAGTGTGCTAGCCACTTCTTGCTCATCCAGCCCAGTCAACATGGTGGCATTGTTGTAATGGATCAATGTGATGTTCTGTGGATGTCCAGCTGGTCCACACTTCTTTGGACTTAGCATGGCCTTGAAGCAAAACTGTTAATGTGTATTATCATTTCCATGAAAATGTGAACTGCTTCTGATTCTGATTGGAAGAGAAAAGAATGCCTGCACTGAATCAACAGCTGAATCCCATGTACGTCAGGCAGTATAGATCTGGTCTAATGAAGACACATCTGGCAGCATGCAATTGGGATTATACTTGATGGAGCTTGTGATGGTCTACAATGACCTTCCCTAACCCATCCAGTTTCTTCAGGGGCCCGAGTGGTCAATTAAACAAGAGTGGAAAGAAGAGGCATAGGATGTGGCAACAGTCTCTATTCCTCTGTCTCCCCACAATATGGTCTCCCTCCCTCCTTCCCTCTTCTTTCCTTCTCTTCCTCCATTGTCTCCCATATAAATTCTGGAATTTTAACTTTGCTCAACATGGGCCATCACTTTTTCCAGCTTTCTAGGAGCCATGCTAGCAGCAAGTTTACACCAACACCTGGGATACTTATGCTAGGGAGTTAAATTCTGTATCTTAGAAAACCCTTTCAAGTCAAAAATTGTCCTCTCTTCTACCTTATGTTCTGGTCCTGGTCTTCAAGCACTCTCGGAATCTCTTCCAGCTCCTGTCAGTCCATGCTGACTACATCTTCCAGTTGAGTATAGTCCCTATTCTTCCTTAGCAAGCCCAGAATGTCCCCAGCTGAGTCATGGAGGACTCTGAAAGGTGCACACATTGTCTTGCACAAGAAGGGCCTGTGTAATATTGGGAATGGAGAGTGCTAGCAAGCAATGGGGGAGGCATATGTATGGGCTCAGAATGTTGAGGGGTTCAGGAAGTAAAAATCTTTGGTGGGAATCCAAGCAGATATTGCCATCTCATGTGTTAGGTTTTCCCAATCGGGTCCTTGACCTTACATGTCAGACCTGCCTTGGTTGGGTATTTAACTGTCTGAAATTCTGCCACTCTATGAAGTCCTGGGCTTAGTCCTCATTTTCTCTTCCCTTCCACTGCAGATGAGAGATTCTCTATATGCAACTAGTGGTCCTCAGGCTTCCACATCTGGCTTCCAGTTGCCTGGTACTTGCTCTCTGATGTTCATTATCCTTCTTCAGGCATCAGTGGCACTTAGCAATAGCCACCCACCCTCATTACCCCATAGATGCTGTCTCCTCCCTGTATCTCAAATGCCTGACACACTGCTGCAGCACACCCCTTACTGCAGCACACCATCCTCCTCACTGGTGAAAGTTTTAACAACTGGAAGGAAGGGGAGGGGAGGGGAGATAAGCGTTTAGGGAAAGAGGGTGGCTGCTTCAAGGAGAAAAGAAAAAAGAAAAAGCAGTCAGTAGGTAGCTGTTTGTTGTTACTGTTTTTTCTTTTTTCTTTTTTTTTTGAGACGGAGTCTCGCTCTGTCGCCCAGACTGGAGTGCAGTGGCTCGATCTCGGCTCACTGCAAGCTCCGCCTCCTGGGTTCACGCCATTCTCCTGCCTCAGCCTCCAGAATAGCTGGGACTACAGGTGCCTGCCACCACACCCGGCTAATTTTTTGAATTTTTAATAGAGATGGGTTTTCACCATGTTAGCCAGGATGGTCTCGATCTCCTGACCTCATGATCTGCCCACTTCAGCCTCCCAAAGTGCTGGGATTACAGGTGTCAGCCACTGCGCCCGGCCTTACTGTTTAATTTTTTTTTAAATGCTCAGATTTGTCTTCCATGGAGGGGCAGAGGACAAATTCCCAAAAAGCCATCGTCAGCGGGACCCAGCCTTTTAGAGAAACCTATATTATGTATGCATTTATGGGAGGAAGGGGGATGTTCTTTGATTTTCTTTTAAATGGTTATATTCAGACTTGAGCAGGCATAACTTTAGAAAGAAACAGTAATTCACAAGGCACTTCCTAGTCTTGTCTGCCAAGCAGGGAAAAAAAAAAAAAAAAAGAATTCCCCCTTCCTTCTTTTTTCAAGGGAGACAGTATGTGGGCTACAGAGCTAGTTAGATTTGGGTCGTCGTCCAGGTTCAGTAATTGTTGGTGTCCAGAGCCAGTCACTTTTCTCCTCTATATACGGGACAGGCACCACACGGGCATGCACTAATAGGAGAGGTGCCTCCCCTGCAGCAGCCAGGAAGGGTCAGCTGTGATTACACTGCTCCTGGGATAAAACAGAAAGTCCACCGAATGATGAAGCACCTCCTGCTGACAGAGGATGTCTCCTCTCCTCTGAACTGTGTTCCTATTAGGGTTGCAGGCTGGTTAAGACTAGAGGATTGCCACAGAAGGAAATCAGGCTACGTCCTCATGGACAGTCAATAGCTAGCAGCAGGCACACATCCAGCCCGGCAAGTCTTTTGACCATGGCTGCCTGGAGAGGGGCTAAAATTTCCTACAATATCTATGAAAGCGTAGAAAAAACGTTTAAATCCAACAGTTGATAGGAATATTTGAAGAACTGATATTTCTAAATTACCTCGTGTATTTCCTTGTATCCCTTCCTTGCCGAAGGGATACAAAAGCCCTGATTAACAGAACTTTAAAAACTGTATTGTCCCATCTAGTCAGAAGACAGGCTTTGAGTAACCACAAATAAGCAAATTTGTTTACTTCAACCACACAACATAAAATATTGTGATATTTAGAATACATGATAATTTGAAAGTTAGTAAAAGGGCAGAGGGTTTGAGAATTAATATTAATATGCTTCTCCTTGGTTCTCTTCTGTTACCCGCCTGTTCTCTTGAGCTACTTGGTTTTCTCCTTAACCTAGAAACTGGTCATAAGGAAGCAAAGTAGCATAGTACATCTATCGCCAAAAATCATGCCTTGACTTTGATTATTCACATAGGTAGAATGGACCATAGGTGTGCTCTAGGTGGAGCAAGGCAGAATACTTTACTATCATTCCCATTCAGCAGTGCAGTTAATATACAATTTATTTAAATAAGGGGAAATTCTCATTTTATAAAGGTAAGCATTGGTTGAACTGTGGTGCTAATATGTGACTCACTGACAGAGTGAGTGAATGATAAGATGGATTATAAGGACAGTTTTTGGCAATAGAAGATTCTGAAGAAAGAGCTCTTGACAGATCTGATACTTTTTATTTTTTAAAGGAAAAAACCAGAATAAGAGGCTTTAATATCTGCCTGGAAAGGGGTGAAGAGTAATCTGTAACTTGAGATACAAAATTCAGCTTACCCTGAGGCAGTGATACCTAGTAGGAGGATGGTCTGGCTTTTCTGGCAGTGGTTTCAGATAAGTATGTAGTTTAGAAATAATTTTATCACCTTTCCCTTCTTGTCTCCATAAAACTAACGATAATAAAACCAACTTCAACTAAAACTAAATATTAAAGTAATGCCTAGTATATGATAGGATTAACACATACTCAATAAACACACATTAATTTTTAAGAATATAAGAACTCCACAATTATTCCAAGGGAAAAGGTGGGACACTAGAAAAAGAAGTGAATCAAAAAGTATAAGCCAGGCATGGTGGTGCATGCCTGCACTCCCAGCTAATTGGGACCACTTGTGCCCAGGAGTTTGAGGCCAGCCTGGGCAACATAGAAAAATACCCCATCTCTTAATAAATAAGGTATAAAATTGGTCATTATTCCCATAACCTTAAAAATATTTAATAAAAACTATCCATATAAAGATGCAGGTCACTGAAACTTTAAGGATTCTTCTGGATGTGTGTAGGATGGATACAAGACAGAGCAGCCTCCTAGCACCATCTGGGATTGTGGACTGCTGCTCTAGCGAGGTCTTTGTCTCTTCATCAACAAACTGAGATGACTCATTAATCTAAATATTTCTGAGATGCTACATATTTGGAAAAATATAAAATACTACAGGCATACAAATGTTGAGTATGTACTATCCAATTGTAAAAGTGGTGTTGAGTATCTAGTGATTCTTATATAGTCATATCCTGACTTTGGCCTGGGAACTCCATATTATCATATTCTGATTTAGCCTACACAGAAATATAGTAATAACAGAGTTTATGGCACTGAAGTAAGATGAAAAGGCTTTGATGCTTTAGTCGATAAATTATTTTTCTCTTTGCATTGTGGGCATATTCATCTTAGGGTCAGTTAATTTTGTAATCTTTCCTAGACATATATAAGGAACAATAATTAGTCCAGGAATTCTGCAGAAAAGTGCTATGTTCCCTCACAGGGCATGGGTATGCAGTGATAGCAGTGTCCACCTCTCCAAAATGTAACTGGACACATCATTTCACCTCATAGTTGTAATATTTGAGATTCTTTGTGTGAGTAAAAGAAAGATTTGTTGCAATAATCCCATTGCTTTAGAGTCACACCTCACATATTACCTGAAGATAAAAGGCCATTTAAACTTTTTTTTAACTTGGTAGGATAGTTTAAAATTTTCACCACTGTAGTCTGTTTGCCCTAACCCCATATGAAAATTAGTCCTAAGGGGAACTATGTTCAGGAATTCAAGAAACCCAGAGAGAAAAACACAGTCACACAAACCATTCACCAGTGACAAAGGAGTCAGCAAACTGTTGGAAAACAGAGAGAACTTGTAATAATGAAAAAAGGACAGAGTTTAGTAACCAATCACTTATTTTCTTTTAAAAACACATAACCACATTAACTTTTTGCTTTATACAACCATCTAGAAACTATAAAACAGTACCACATTGTGCATTTAACCTACTTATCAAGAAGGGAACTTCATAGGTCGTAAGAATTCTACCCATATAGAAAGGAAAAAGGAGACAGCTAATAGCATAGTCACAGATACAACATGAGTCCAAGCAAGCATCAATTCTCCGACGTCACCTTTTCCATTTACCAGAGTGGAGACTGAGAAAGAGAGTAAGGGAGAAAAAAGAGGGAAAGAAGCACCCACAGAAGACTAATCACAATCCATAGTTACTTTTGACAACTATAGCTCAGGGTTTCATAGAATAGTATCATTTGACCAACACAGTGTGGTGGAGGGAGAGGGGTGAAGGAAACACAAATAGAAGGAGAGACTTTGAACAGAAAAATACAATCTTCACCCTATTTCCCTCCTAAATACTCTTCATTGATACAAGCTTCTGTGCTAATCTAGAAAATGGCAAGAAATTAATCTTCACAACATGATAAAGAGTTCTGTTCTTTTAGCAATTGAAATGTGAATGGCTCACAATTTTACAATTCAAAGTAACAACGTCATGAACAATTACCCTTTAGGGATTTTTCACAATCTTTCCCCCTATTCCCACCATGCTGGTGTTGCTATAGGGCAATCAGGGAAGTGCAGGTAGGGACTTCAGAGATAATGATCAAGGGATAGTGAGATGGAAGCCTGGCTCTTTCTTAGACGTCCACATCTTTCTAGAAGTACTGCAGTCTTTCCCTCCGACTTGTGGTGGCACAGAGGAAAGGGCATAGGAAGAACTAAGGTAATACGGTGGAAGTATAGTCAAGTAACTGGTTTGAAGGTATACAATATGAGACTGTGTACTTAGTAGATATACTGAATCCAAGGCAAACAACAGGTTATTTGATTGTCCTCCTTAGGTTGATGGCACCATACAAAAAACTGAAGGTGGCTTTGATTTGATGATAAAATAAACCAAAGGTTTGCTACAAGGAAACATACTTCAGTTGCAAATTAGTATAATGATTCTCCTTACTTTAAGGGAAACTCTCATCTTGTTCTCACTTCATCTTCCACCATAAATAAGCAAATATATTCTGGAAGGCTGTTTTCTAGGGGCAACTCAATATCAGAGTTTTGATAATTCATACAAGAAAGGCATCATGAGTCATGCCAATCAACAGGCTCCTCTCCGTTCTCAGGCAAACTTCCTGTATGGACTAACTTAGGCTCTTCCAAACCTAATGAGATGTTTTTACTTTTTCTTATTTGGTGAGTATGCTGGTTAAATCATTGGTTTGTAACACAACAAGTGCAAATTTCTTATGCTATCATATAATCAACTCTGTCCCACATTACCATGTGCTCTAACATTGTATAGACTTAAAATACAATGCAGAAAGTTGAGAGTTTGTAGGATTTACTATTAAGACTGATTTATGAAATGCAGAAACGTATACGTGTTTGCATTCAGAAAACCTTTAACACTCCTTGTCTTGGCTCATGATCATAAGCAAGAAAAATTTAGATCACTCAGAAAAAGAATATGAACAAAGCTGACAAACTGGATTTATTCTTCTTTACCTAACTTTTGCAAAAGTTCTACCAAACCTTCAATTGTCTTCATCTGGTCATTAGAGAGATCTTATCTGTAATGACACTGAATTCCTATTATATTTGAGAAAAGTGTGGTGATTTTGTAGTTGACAGAGCTACAAATTCAACTTTTTTTTTCTCTCAGAAGCTATCTCAATTTTAAAAACTCAAATGTTGTACAGTAAGAGGTACTTATTTTATGAGAGGAAAATTTCATGTAAACCATTCAAAGAAAACAATAACCTGAAATCTGCTTACCAGATAAAGTACAGTTGTTCCAGAGTATCCCACGTTTTAAAATAATGCCACAGATAGGGTTATTTTCTTAATTATTTTCCTTAGAATAAGAAATTTTTGTAGTCACTGCTTAGAAAATTACATTTGGGAATAAAGAACTATTTCCTGAATAATGCAAAGTAATGGGGAAAAGATGATAGGAAAATAAAGGCAGGTCTTTCCCAGCAATTTAATAACCACTGAGTGGAGAGATGGAGGCATCATCTTCGAGTCATCAGGCTCATGTAATTTCCTAACTGCCTTGCTGAGGCTTACTGCCAACGTCCAACATCTTGCTCTTCTCTGCTCTCTCCAAAGTTATTTTACTTATCATCAACAAATGTCTGTTAATCTGATACCTGTATGACTCAGTACTACTTTACTTTTTTTCTATTCTTACCTTGCCCTGGTTCACCTATCCAGAAATGGATGAACTGCTTTCTCTAGTTACTGTGAATGTACTTTGGTCAAAGCATGGTAGAAAGATAATACATATCAACACGTTACTTCTGGTAAAAAGCTCAGTTAAAGTCATAGAACTCTCATGTTTAGAATATCAGGAAGTCAGGGATCCTAGCGGCTGGGGCCCATTTTCCTCTTTACATGGTTTTTATAAGTTACTACTGAGGTGAATGGTGTTCTCCCACACCATTGCTTCTGACTGAAGTTAAGCAGCTTGCCTAAGGAGCCTAATGGCAGAGTGCTGAAAAAAAGTTGCACCTGGGTTTTTGACTACTTTCCAGCCTTACAAATGACCATCATAACCTAATTAATGATTTAATCTTTGATTTCATTGTTTCTCTGTATGCTGTGAAATCAACGATTATGCCACTGTAATGGTATAGGCAGCCTTAAATATAGGCACTCATTTGTGCATAGACAGTAAACCACTTTTGTCTTTTAATTTCTCTACACACATCAATGCTTTCTATACTATCATAAAATGAAAAACGAGTTTTATTCATTTACTTAGACTTCCTTTTCATTCCTTTGAAGACTATTTTAATTGATATTAAAAACTGAGTGATTCTCCAAAATAAAACTAGAATTTCTAAACCTAAAATCAAATGAAGTTTTAACTTTGGTTAGGTTGCTGCTCCTTTAAAATGAGTATGTGATTTTTTTTTTTTTTTTAGACGGAGTCTCGCTCTGTCAGCCAGGCTGGAGTGCAGTGGCATGATCTCGTCTCACTGCAACCTCTGCTTCCCGGGTTCAAGCAATTCTCCTGCCTCAGCCTCCCGAGTAGCTAGGATTACAGGCATGCGCCACCACGCCCAGCTAATTTTTGTATTTTTAGTAGAGATGGGGTTTCACCATGTTGGTCAGGCTGGTCTCAAACTCCTGAGATCGTGACCTGCCCACCTTGGCCTCCCAAAGTGCTGGGATTACAGATGTGAGCCACTGCACCCAGCCAATGTTCATTTTTAAGAGTTCTATTGAGAATTTCAGTGTATGGGAGCCTCCAACCAAATTGCAGGGTGGACACAACATTCGCAACTGCTAGGGCATATAAAATTTAGGAGAGGAAAGTGCACATTGCCTTTTTTGAAAGAAAAAAATTAAATGTATGTTTTGTCTCCCAAGGTCTCTTGATGAGGAAAAGCCCTCTTTTCTCTTCACAGCTTTAAGAGGAACATAAAGCTGTGTACTTAAATACATATTTAAACTTCTGTCACATAGCAAGCTGAAAGTTACATAAACCTTATTTTTGAATAGACTATGCTAATCTGACAAACACTTCAGAAAAGGATTACATCTATCATTGCATCATATGTGAAAGAATAAGACCGATTAGGGCCTAGAATCATAACAGTTGAAGAAAGACTAAACTGGCCATAGGATACATTAATGTAAAAACACTGGGGAATTCAAACAGCAGAAGTCAACGGTAAGATTTTATGTGTGCCATCATATTCACTAATAAAGAATAGAGTTAACAATTCAAATGGCTCTGGATACACATTAGTACCACCAATTTTATTTATATAAGAAATGCCTGGTCCACTGGACTTTTCAATTTAACTCAGTAGTAATTACTGCTGTTTCTTGACAGACCAGTGATATTTCCCCCATAGTTTTAAAGTATAAAAAACAGAATACTCAGGGGAAAAAAAACCTCAAGTATAAATAATGCAACCTTTAATCTACCAAGGGTCACTAACTTGTTAACACTGATTATTATAAATGATTCAATTTATTTAAACTAAAAAGCATTAATTAAACATTTACTCTTCCATTTTGGGTCAAGGGACATGCTTGACAAAACACAAAAAAGCAATAGAAGCACAAAGTTGTATGATTTTTTCCAGAAAACAAAACAAAACAAAAAAACCTCGATTCAAAAAGGGAACAAATTTTGGAAGCTAGTCAGAATAAAGATGGAAGAAACTACTTTAAAAAGAAACTATTTGTCAGTTAATTGATAAAAATTTTCTAGTAACAGTAACTTTAATCTTACTGGAGTTACAACAGGGATGGGTAAAGACTTTAATACATGGTGGAAGTGCTGATGATAGAAGGAGTGTATTAAAGGGCAGTAACCGAATGTTTTGACTGAGCAAATGGTAATAATAGCTGCCCTTCCACTTATTTGTTCCTTTGTTTCAATTAAGCTGAAAATTATAGGACTAAATTTACTTTCATGAATCTGCTGGTATTGACTTGGAATTTTCATCTTGGTCTAGGGGTTATTAAAACACATTTTACCATGTCCTGGAATTTATATTAATTTTGTTAGATAATGAAATGCTAAATTTAATGCCAACCATATTCAATAATGTAATATCTCTTACGGCTTTCAGGCTTATTTGGATGACTAAGGAACAAAGGGAAGAAATGAGACAAAGAAGTGACAATGGGCACTGTGGACAGATCATAATAGTCTACTATTTCTAAGCAGTGTACTTCTCATGTATGACCAAGTTTAGATCCCTACAATTTTAAAACAGGTTTTCTATCATGGGATGGCATGAAATCCAATGATCATCCTTTAAAACTGCTGGGAGAAATGGCTGCCAAGGTCTTTTGTATCAACATAATGTGAATGAGGAAGGATAATTTGTTCCATGTGCTCAAAAATATAGTTTCCCCATGACAGACTTTTAATTTGATCAAATTCTGGCTAAAGTGGTTGAGCCCAGAAGAAAAACTATCTAGTGAGGGCACACAGAGCCTCTGAAATGCCTCTGTCTTCTGATTCAGAGCTAGCAAAGGTCATGCTACAGTGACCATACATGCGGGTGCATAATAAGGCATAGCTTCAGCTGTTAAGGTTGAAATATGGGCCAGTGTATTCCACATCTGTTCCTTAAAAAGTTAAAAAAATTATCAGAACCTCTTCCATGAAATTCAGCTGGTGGTGTGGTGTGGGATTCCTTGTTATGAGACATATGCTCAGGACTCTAAAGCAGCAGCAACTTAAGAAGTTAGCAATGAAACTTTGGCTTAAAATAAAAACAAAGGAAAGAAAAGGTCAAACTGGTACAAGTTGTCTCCTGAAAGAGGTATGTGGGACTGACCCTCATAAATGTCATCCAATGTAAGTTTCCCCTGCTTTCTTTTACTGTTATCACCTTCATTGCACAGGAGTTATATCATTCTTTATGGTTAAGTTTCATAAATAATGAGAAAACTATGTGTAACAAATACATCATATTTCCCACCCACCCAGCAACCCTTCCCAAAATAAGAAAAGTTACACCAAATTAAAAAGTAGCTTCATGAATGAAGGTACTGCTTTAAGTTGCACTTTTCCTGCAAGTGCGGCCAGTGCCTTTGCGCTGGGTATGAAGGAAAGAAAAAAATTCTCCACATAAACTGACAAAAAATTTAAAAACCAATGTCCGGTTTCAACCAGTCAAAACCGGGTCGAGCGGAAGCCGAGATATCTCAGTACCGTCCCATCAGAGGGTCCCTGCAATGCCTGTTCTTCATCCTGATAGGTATCTATGTCCTTGTGATTGTAAACAATCCATAAGATACTATGTTTTGTTCCTTAAAACATCCTCTGATTGGCAAATGAAGTAAATATTTGTTTTAAAAATAGAAAATTAAAATTAAACCAGAAGAAAAGAAAAGAAACACAGTGAGCTTGTTTGGAGTCCATAGGATCCGATCCGGAAGAGCTCGGAAAATGTGTTATGTGTTTTCTCCTGTTTTCGGCTGGAAAGGTACTAGAGGTTGCGTTGGTCGAGGAAAGGATTGTAGAGTAGGAAAACCAAAGACGTGAATCTAGACTTCAGAAAATTCAAGTGTTAGCTTCATCATCTGTGTCTTCTATCAATACCTTAGTGTCACGAGCCTTGGATCTAGTGGTAACAAGGGGGACAAAAAGCACTTAATCCATTACTCAAATATAAACACTTGCACTGTATTAGACACATTTCCAGTCTTACCACCATTAAACATACATCCCAAACAGGGACTATCTGCTGTACCAGATGGATTATTCTAGAGTTTCCAATTCAATTTCAGATATTACTGGAAATACACTAAGAAACTAGATCACAACCAGAGGGAGGTAACAAGAACAATGGCAGGATATGCGCAACGCAGAGGGTAGTCATCTGGGTTTGAGTACTGACATTGATTTTTTTTTTTTTTTTTTGAGACAGAGTCTTGCTCTGTCAGCCAGGCTGGAGTATAGTGGTGCGATCTCAGCTCACTGCAACCTCCGTCGTCCAGGCTCAAGCAATTCTCCTGCCTCAGCCTCCTGAGTAGCTGGGATTACAGGCATGTGCCACCATGCCCGGCTAATTTTTGTATTTTTAGTAGAGATGGGCTTTCACCACGTTGGCCAGGCTGGTCTCAAACTTCTGACCTCAGGTAATCTGTCTGCCTTGGCCTCCCAAAGTGTTAGGATTATAGGCGTGAGCCACTGAACCTGGCCACCTGACTTTGATTTTATGATGCATCTATTTAACCCTTTGAGTGCCTGTTTCCATCTCTGTAAGGCAGGAATGATAATACCAATTTCACTTAATACCACTTTCACCTCATGGAGATGGTGTGCATTATCAAGTGAGAGCATGGATGAAAAAAGCATTAAACAAACAGGAAACTGGTTGGTTCCTAAAATCCCAGCTCCTTGGGAGGGTGACATAAGAGGATGGCCTGAGTCCGGGAGTTTGAGACCAGTCTGAGCATCACAGTGAGACTCTGTCTCTTTAAAAAAAAAAAAAAAAAAAGCCAGGTATGATAGTGCACACCTGTAGCCCCAGCTACTCAGGAAGCTGAGGCAGGAGGATCACTTCAGCCCAGGAGCTCAAGGCTGCAGTAAGCTATGATCACACTACTGCGCTCCAGCCTAGGTGACAGACTGAGACCACATCTCAAAAACAAAAACAAAAACAAAACCCTACAAAACAAATGTAAGGAATTGTGATAAGGATGAGGAGAATGACAGATATAACACCACTTGAGGCATACATGAGAAACCAAAAGAGTTAGCCAGCAGAAGAGAAGACCTAAGGAGAGGCATAACAGTTATTTCTCTTCAAAGAGTTGACAACATACAATGCAGAAGAGGGAGGAGACTCATTATTAGTTATGTGAGAGAGCCCAACTAGGATCAAATGGTTAAAGTTACAGTGAAATTACAGTGAAGCATATTTCAGCCCAACATAAACCATCTACCACTATAAATACCAACAATAAAATCGACTGGCTGAGTGTGGTGGCTCATGCCTGTAATCCCAGCACTTTGGGAGGCCAAGGAGGGAAGATTTCTTGAGGTTAGGAGTTTGAGACTAGCCTGGGCAACATAGTAAGACCCTGTCTCTACAAAAAATAAAAAATTAGCTGGGTAGAGTGGTGCAGGCTTGTAGTCTCAGCTCCTTGGGAGGCTGAGGTGGGAGGAGTGCTTGAACCCAGGAGGTTGAGGCTGCAGTGAGTCATGATCGTGCTGCTGCACTGATCCAACCCGGGCAATGGAGTGAGATACTGTTTCAAACAAATGAACAAACAAAAAAACCACACACATTAAGGATATGCTAAAGGTTACATGAGTGATAAAGTCAGTACTGAAACTCAGATCTTATTTTGGATTCCCTGCTCTCTCCGCTGCACATCAACCACTCCATTCCTAATGTCTTACTCTCGGTGCAATCTGGTTTCCCAGTGTTTCTCCATTAAACACCTGAAATGGAACAGAATAATCTATTGCCAAAGAGCCCCTTGTTTCTGAAGCAGAAATAGTCTATGTTTAGATTGCCCTCTGCTGGTAACTAACAAGGATAATTAGACTTCAAAATCAGGAGCTCAGTGAGGTCACCAACCACACTCAGCATTTTCTTCCAGTCCTTTGTGGCACTTATCTCGCTGACCCACTCAGTGCTCCCCTGCCCCAGCTTCTTCAAACTCTGCTTCCTTGGGATCACAGTACCAACCATGCTTCGTTCTGATGCCCTTCCTACTACCTCCCTGACTACTCCTGCCTCTTTTGTTTATTTTCTTTTTTTCTCTTGTCTGTGTTTCTTCCCTGGCTAATGTGGTTGAGCCAGGGAATAAGACTCAGTTCCCTGCTCTCTGCTTTTCTCTACCTTCTTCAGAGAACTTCCAAATCTCTATTTAAAGCTCAGCAGGTTCTACTCTACTCTTCTATATCCAGTGAGTTACTGATACTACCTTCTGTTTCTTACTTCCTTCGAAACCTCTCCTTACATTCCTTTTGGTCCAACTCTAAGCATCCTAATCTGAATCTTCACTGCCCCATACATTAAAGTACTGCATAGCTTTTCATCTGGCTTTCTGGCCTTGAGTTTTCCCTTGCCTAATCTATCTTACACAGTGCTATTAAAACTTCCTAGGATACTACTTTTACAATGTCATTCTTCTGCAAAAAAATTCTCTGTGATTCGTGGCCGGGTGCAGTGGCTCACACCTATAATCCCAGCACTTTGGGAGGCCAAGGCGGACGGATCACGAGGTCAGGAGATCGAGACCATCCTGGCTAACATGGTGAAAGCCTGTCTCTACTAAAAATACAAAAAATTAGCCGGGCGTGGTAGCGGGCGCCTGTAGTCCCAGCTACTCGGGAGGCTGAGGCAGAAGAATGGTGTGAATCCGGGGGGTGGAGCTTGCAGTGAGTGGAGATCGCACCACTGCACTCCAGCCTGGGTGACAGAGTGAGACTCCATCTCAAAAAAAACAACAACAACAACAACAAAAAAAATTCTCTGTGACTCATTCCTGCCTACAAGATCAAGTTTGCATTTTCAGCCTTTTACAATCATACTTCATCTATTCAGAAAAATTATTCTTACTATAATTCTAGTCACATGGTTGTTCTTTCTGCACTTCATTTCTACCTTTATGTTCTTTACTGTGTCTCTAGTCTATTCATTCCCTTATCCTTTAGAAAACTGTTCATCCTCAACCTAAGTCTCCTTCATTCCAATCTACTGTGCTATCTATTGTCTCTAAATTTTGAATGCAGTCACCATATACTGTATATTTATGGTAACTTTTAGCAACATATGTAGTCAATGACTGATAAAAACATTGCTGTAGGTATTTAATAAGAAGATACAAATAATAATAGTTTATATTTAGTAGGCTCTTTCTGTGAGGGAACTGGTCCAAGTTCTATGTAATAATGAATATAATCCACTTAACTGCCCTATGAGCAAGAACCATATTAATTCCAGTTTACAGATGAGGGGCAGAAAACAGAAATTAAGTAATTTGGTCAAGGCATAGATGGCAGGATTCCTAAAGTTTATAACATAAAAATCATTTGTATACAAAACATACAGAAGAGTCAAGTATTAATAAATCACTCTCCAACAACCTCTTCCTCCAGACAGTGGATCTTTAATGCCAAATTACTAGGTTATGCATTGATGACATTTACTCTATATGCTCATTTAGATAGTCTATAGGTTATATCATATGGAATTGCTGCTTATTACTGTTTTTTTTGTAGGCGAAAAATGGCTGAGTATTGGCAATTTCATTTGGTTCAGCCTGATAGCTTCGTAGCTTACATGTTACCCAATGCTAAAACCCAAAGGAAATATGCCTCACAGAAGTAGAAGCCATACATACTGAGAAGCGAGGCGAGGCCGGCGCAGGGATATGCTCTGGTTGTACTTCCATGACCGATTCTTCTGGCGGTTTCGTACCCCATCATCCTGGTCCATCATCTGTTCTAGGAGAGTCTGATCATCTGCGTTCAGGGGGGCCACAGAGATGTCCCGCACAGCACGGAATTCACCACAGTTATTCAGATGTTCATTCTCCAGGCGGAAGAAGTTCCACACAAATCGCCTTAGCAAAATGGGGTAGATCAAAGTACTTATGAAATTGTAAGATACTTCTGCTACTTGTAAACCTCCCAGGGTATCAAGTTTCCACTCATGGAAACAAAAACACAGAATTAAGGGCCTGAATATTAAAATAGGGAAAGATGGTGTTGCGGGGAGGTTGGGGGTGGGGGACGGGTAAGGGAAATTAAGACTAGACTATGAAAAAGGAAGGGACTCATGGAATGCAGTTTTAGAGTGCTCATTCTTTCAACTTATTTGACAAATAGTTACTGAATGTCTACCATAAGGCAGTAAAGGCACAGAATGACACAAAGCCTTTTTGTCCTTATGGGGTGTAATTTCTAGTAGTGGAGACAGACAATGAGCAAGTAAACAATCAATCGGCTAATGATAAGTACTGTGAAGAAAATAAAGCAGGACAAGGGAATAGAGTATGCCGTCATTAAGACTGGTTAGGGAAAGCTTTGAAGACATGGCAGCTATTGAAAACCTGAATGATATAAAGAAGCAAGTCATGTAAAAATCCTGGAGGAAAGCCTCCCAGGCAGAGGAAAATGGCAAGTATAAAAAGGCAAGTTGGAAACAGCAAGGTCAGTGGGGCTAAGAATAAGTGAGGTTAAAATAGCAGGAGATAATGATGGAGGGGTGGAAGAGGGCCCATCCACAGAGGGCCTTATAAACCATAGTTTAAATTTTAGGTCTAATGGAGAACAATGAGAGAACAACAGGAGAATAAAGTGATTTGTTTGAAAAAGGTCCTGCTGAATGGTGAAGAGATCAAAGGGAGACAAGAACAGCTGAAGAAAGACCAATTAGAAGGGCTGTTACAGCAGTCCAGAAAAGAGATGATGGTGACTTAAAGGTGGTAATAACAGAAGTGATGAGAAGCAGACAGACAAAGGATTTATTTATAAAGATGGAGGTGACAGAACTTACTGACATGGGATGAAAGTGGTCTTAGGGTTTTCGGTCTAAGTGAAAGGTGACACCATTTACTAAGATCAGAGATGCTAGGTTAGAGTTACTCATCAGATGTGGGAGAATTCAGTAGAGAGGTGGACGAGAGTCTGCAGTTCAAGGGAAAGTTTATGGCTAGAGATAGCAAAAAGACAGCACTTCAAATAATAGATTTAGGAATAATACAACTAGAGGAGAGAAGAGCGCAGAAGATTAAATCCTGGAACACTCTAATACTTAAAAGTTTGGGAGGAGGAGGAAGAACCAGTAAAGGAGTGGACAAGGAATAGCTAGTGAGACAGGAGACTGTAGTTTCTGAGAAGTCAAGAGAATAAAGTGCTTTGCTGGGAAGTAAAGTAAGATAAGTACAGAGAACTGACCAGGGGATTTAGCAAAATGGGGAGTATGGATCTAATAGCATAGGCTCTGGGTGACTGTCTAGATTCAAATCATGACTTTACCATTTGCTAGCTGTAATGACCTTGGATTAGTTACTTAACCTATGCTTCAGTGTCATCAGTAAAAGACATGATAACAGTACCTACTTGCTAAGATTGCTGTGAGGATTTAATAAAGGTAAAAGGCTTAGAATGCTGTCAGCTACATAGTAGGCACTACAATATTATTATTATAGATTATTAACAAAAGTGGTTTAGTTTGAGTATTGGGAATACATATTTGAATGAAAAAGAGAATGGGAGAGAAGTGAGAGTGGAGACAGCAAGTGCAGACATCTCTTGAAGAGTTTTGCTATAAAGGACAGCAGAAAGATCGGCAACAGTTGGAGGGAGAAAGCTGATCTAAAGATGGGGTTTTTTGTTTGTTTTAAATGGGATAGAACATTTGATTTAATTAGTAAGCAAATGATTTTTAAAAAAGAAATACAATAGTCATGAGGTATTTTTCTTTTTTTACTAGAATTTCTTTTAAAAAATTGATGAAGTAGCACCCATGAAAGAGAAAGAAGTGGGTGGGGAGGTGGCAGCAGCGATGGGGAGTTCAGGCGCCAGGCCGAGGCATTCAGGAAGGGAAGGAAGGGAAGGAGTACTGGTTTATCTTTTGGTTTCCAGCTTCTATCTTATTTTAACAGACAGTATTTGTCTATCCTGACTCAGAGGAATGTTATACACCTGTCTGAAAATATCTTTATATCATCTTATTTGGGAGGCTGAGGTGGGTGAATCAACTGAGGTCAAGAGTTTGAGATCAGCCTGGCCAACGTGGTTTTCCAATTCTAAGGCTGATGAGAAATTTGAGAAAAGTTGGAAAATTTAAGATTTTCAAGTACAAGTTATAATAAATTCTAATTTGTAAGTATTGGGTGTCTTTTAGGTTAAAAAGAATCTTCAATAAACTTTTCAGTAGTTTGCTTACCGGAAAACCTCAAGGGGGGCAAAGACAGTAGCAATTATGTCCCCAGAATGAGGCAACAAAGTTGTAGAGGTAATCGAGATTTGGATAGTCCAAGCAAAGCGCAGAATCACATCCTCTATTATGGCACAGTAGTAGTAGGCCTGAGAAATAAACAAATTGAGTATGTTTCCCATCACATTTTTCATAAACAGGCATACTAATGAGCACATGTCCTACCAACAAGACTCACATATGTCCTACGAATAAACACAGGTTCAAGAGGAAAGTTGCATTTTATTTTGTAGGAAAGTACACATTATATTTTAGAATTATTTCTACCAATTTAGTTTTTTCTTAAATGGTATAATATGCAATATGAAGTATTACTGAATTTGAGTAATCATTAACAAATATATTTCACTGCCATACCGTATACCAGGCTTTCTTCTAGGGCCCAGAAATATAAGCTGGTTAAGATCCTTGATCAATTGAGATTACATTCTAACAGGTACAGTAGACTTAATAGCTAATATCAGAAAAGATTAGCGGATTTATTCACTGTGTTATTTGTACTTTTATTCTCCATTTGCCTTACCCTGTATTTGAAGAAAGTTTTGTCTTGCTTTTTGATGTGAATGAAATTAAGCTTGGATTTCACAACCATGGTCGAATTTAAGAAATGTTCTATTTTTACATGGGGAAGACGGTGCTCAAGTAATACTTGCAGGTACTAGCACCCAGGATTTAGGAGTCCAGTCCAGTTTTAGCTACACAAAAGTCTTAAATACACAAATTGCCAATAGACCAGAACTATATAATTCATAGATTTGCTCATTATTAATCTCAAGGAAATTAGCTCTTTAAATATATGTATTTAAAGAATGTGAAATTTTTGGGAAGGGAAACTACTATGTATTAAGCCATATTTATTTTACTTAAAAAATTTTTAAACAAAGTAATACTAGTCATTGTGAGAAAGCTATTGTTTAAAAAAAAAAAAAAAAAGGCCCCTGGCCACCTTCTTTCCATCCCTAGAGACCAAACATTTTCAAAATTTGTAGCTATTTCTTCTACTTAGCCTCCATATATTAAAATAGTATGTGTATAGTGTTTTATCTCGATTACTCAATTTTAGACATTATTCACTGATGATTATGATAAATTTAATGAGATTATGAGGATTTTAACACATTCACATGGCTCACTATTCCCTCTCCCATCCCCGCAATATAGTGATAATGCAATTTTTGGGTAAATCCACATTCGATTTATTAGGCTTAATTGAAGAACTGCAATTTCATGTGCCTTTCAGAGTCAGTCTTAAGCTATTCACCACTGACCAATGTGGGAGCTGATGTCACCAAAAATGTGGAAGTCTTTTGGGAGGAATACACTTATCTTGAGGTCAAGAGACACAGAAAAGTTAAGTTTGAATATAAAGATAACAAAAATTGTTCCTGGACCTGGGGTGTGGTGCTTAATATTATGCATTCATAAGAACTGATTTTAAGGTTCATATACCTGTGTTCTAAATTTTTAACGAAGCTCCACTGGATTCCACACTTTTCAAGCTAGATTAATTTTATTTCAGGTATTTGCCTTTTTAGTTTTTTGTTTTAGTTTTTTTAAGACAGAGTCTTGCTCCATCACCCAGGCTGCAGTACAGTGGCAAGAACATAGCACTGCCGTGTTGAACTCCTGGGCTCAAGTGATCCTCCTGCCTCAGCATCCCGAGTAGCTGGGGCTACAGGCGTGTGCCACCACATCCAGTTATTTTTATTTTATTTTATTTTTTAGTAGAGTCAGGGTCTCACACTATGATGCCTAGGCTGGTCTGGAACTCAAGCAGTTCTCCTGTCCTGGCTTCCCAAAGTGCTGGGATTACAGGTATGAGCCACCATGTCTGGCCAGTATTTTTTAAAATTAAAGGAACGTGGTGATCCAGCAGAACATCTTTCTTATAAGTTTGTAAATTATAATGTAGGAAAGTATTTTGTTTTTTAGAGTCATGAAAATATGTAACAACAAAGAAACTGAGTGAAAAATTCTATTCACTAATTTTATTACCTAGAAATCACTATGTTAGAACTATTTAAAAGGGGGAATGGATTAACATTTATATAAAGACATAAACAATTTATCTAAGCAATTATCATAATAAGAAACAAATGTCTTGGGAGGCCGAGGCAGGCGGATCACGAGGTCAGGGGATCAAGACCATCCTGGCTAACACGGTGAAACCCCGTCTCTACTAAAATACAAAAAATTAGCCGGGTGTGGTGGCGGGCACCTGTAGTCCCAGCAATTTGGGAGGCTGAGGCAGGAGAATGGCGTGAACCTGGGAGGCGGAGCTGGCAGTGAGCTGAGATTGCACCACTGCACTCTAGCCTGGGTGACAGAGCGAGACTCTGACTCAAAACAAAAAACAAAAAACAAATGTTTTATAGCTCTCAGAGGGCAAGAACAATATAAACAGAAATAAAACACACTTATTTGGTGAGCACAAAAGGGCCATCTTTAACTGAGCTCATATCTACTCTCTGATTATTAATTTTCTTTTCAAATTAGATTTATAAAAATATGTCTAATATCTTGGTCATATATTCTAATTTTTCACATCTGGGGTATTGCTATAGTTTAGGTAAAAAAGATCACTGTCAACAATTTCCCCTTTTCCCCTTTATATGTTCATCTGAAGTTACTCTACGTATCATTCTTTGAATTCACTATTCCTCACACCTGAAAATGCCTTCTCTACTTACTAATTGAATATTACGTATCCATACACTTTTCCAAATACAATTTTAAGGTACTGGTGACATGCTGATAAGAGTATAAAATGTTAGTGACCTAATCTACACTTTCCTCTCCATCACAGAATTTTAAACTGGGAAAAGATCAAGAGATAATCTAGTTTAACATACTTACCCTTATAAACAAGAATCTACTATAGTCTGGTTGCAGAAAATCATACAGCTAGTTAGTGAAAGAGCTGGGATTAGAATTCACATTCACTTTCAGGATTACCAGTTCACTGTTTAATTTCTTTCAAGGTCTAATCATGATATTTATCCTTTTCTAAAATATCTGAGTAAATATATTTTTGAAGTTTAAATTCAGCCCCTCTTGTCTTTTTATTAATACACAGATAAAATCCTAAGATAATTCCTAAAGAATTATTCCTAAAGAATTATCTATATTTTCTGATTGAAATGGCACTTGATTTTAACAAATATTAGATGAAACAAATGAAAGGAGAAGTCTTCCTGATGCAATCAACCAGAGTCAGGCACTCCTTCTCCTTGGTCTTTTCATAACATTTTTCATTTAGTCAAGTATTTATTCATTCATTCCAGAAACATTAAGTCTGCTATATACCAGGAACTATGCTGGGAAGTGAAGAATATGGACACCTAAACACATTATTATAATGCAGTGTGATAACTGCTATAATGGTAGTTTATATAGGGTAAAAAAAGATTAAGACGAACAGCTGACTATGCTAGGAAAAATAAAGAAAGGCTTCTTGGAGAAAGTAACACTGAAACTGACTTTTTATTAAAAAGGAGGAACAGGTGTTTACAAAGCAGACAAGAGAGACAGAGTGTTTCAGACTGAGGGCATTCCATGTTCAAAAACAAATCATAAACTACAGTAAGTTATTTATTATTCTATTCCAGTCTTTATCACATTGTATTGCAATTTGTTTACTTATCTGAACATAGTTTATGGCTTTCCTTGAGAACAAGAATTTTACTTTGTTTTTATTTCCTATAGTACCTAGCATATAGTAAACATCTAATATATTTTTGTCGGTGAATGAATTAGTATTTTTGTTAATTCTTTTTCTACTTATATTATAGTAATATAATTAGAGGTTGGGGCTGTACTGCAACAGGATTAGCTAGTGGTATACCTAAGTTTGTTCTTTTAAACAAACACACTCTTTATACATACTTTCTGGGGGTATACAATCTCTTCCCGGAGGAAAGTGTTCTCTCCAGCATTCTTATCAAAGAGACCCCAGTCCATCTTGAGATCCCAGATGAGGGTATAGCAGGAACTGATGATATAAAAGACAATCCACAGGTAAAAGAACACCATGGTGTCCGAGTGACCTCGTTCTGAAGAAAGAAAAGGGAAAGAGAAATGAGAAAATTTACATTTAAGTAAAATTTTTCATTAAATAACACTAATTAAAACAGATTCTTAAAATAGCTCCATAAGAAAGCAAAGCTTTAAACAAATCGTAGGAAGATCATTGTCTAACAAAGGTTAAACAATAAATATGATTTCCCTGAGGTCCAAAGCAATCATCAAACATTTGCTGAATACATAACACTTGCACAAATGTATAAAAGTTTTGGAGGCTTTATGCTGAATACGTAAAAATCTGTATAATTGCAATGAAGGTGTTGAATGTTACAGAAGATGCAATTTTAACTTTTGCCATCAGGTGGCAGCTTAGTGTAAAATATGAAAAAGATTCCCAAACCACTACTAACAAGGAATGTGCTGCATTTGCTTCAAGAAATTCTTGGATTGTTTTTACTTTAGAACACTTCCTTCATACACTTAGATGTTGTCCATACTTATCATGATGGCAACCAGATAATTCTAAGTCTAGATAAAATGCCTGAAAACAACAGATTGATAAAGACTTTACCCTTAATGATATATATGAAAGCAAATTTCTCTCAAGTCACAAAACAAAGTATGGTATTTTAGCCTTTCTTAGAGGGTGTTTATTGATACAAAGGCCTAATTTGCTGGGAACATTATAAAGTAACTTTTGGCTTTATGCTGAAAATACTATAAGGCACACTAAATGAGAATAATGATTCACAAATGTAGTTATACAATTTAATCATTTCTGCTTCATACACTATCTAATGAAATTCTTCTTGGTCAGCTCTAGAGTCATTGTGGAATGTCTCTAGGTGTGTGATAGGTATATAACTACTAATATGGTTCTGCATCACGAGGAAAAAAAGGCATACAAATCTAATTCAAAAAAGTTTAAATTTTGGTCAGTTTCTCAAAGATATAGAAAGCAAAGGATATACCATGCATCCTTCATAATTTTTTTCTGTTAAAATAAGCAAATGTTTATTAACCACTTTTAGGTTATATTAATGTGTTAAGTACAGTATGATTTAAAGGCACCCCTTAGAAGTTTATAATCTAGAGAGTGAATCAAACATTCATTATTGATACATTTGAGCTCAAAATGAAATATAAACAAAGGACTATGAGAGCACCAAGGCAAATGGGAATGTTTCCAACAGTAGCAAGTAAGAGAAAGCAGCATTTGAGTTATTTCTAGAAGGATAAATAAATAGTATTGCAAAACTCAGGCAGATAAAGTGAGGTCATTCAAGGCTGAAGGAAGATGCTGAGAAGGTAGATAATGAGAAGGCGGGGGTGGGGGGGAAGAACAAGTGTGTCTGAGAAGTTACAAGTTATCTACATCTAGTGTTGGTGACATACAGAGGATGTGAGAGAAATGGTATGATTTAAAATGAGGCTGAAAAAGACTCATCTGGGTCTGAATGTGGAATGCCTTCATGGACTTTAGGATCAGATCTGTATTCTAGAAAAACAACTGGTTGGCAAATTACTTGCAACCAATTGGTTAAAAAAAATAGATGCCTTGGAGCTTCAATGTTGTGTGAACATCAGTTCTCATCAGCTCATGGGAGCCAATTGTTAAATTTTCAGAAACTCTGGAAGCTGGTTGTGAAACTCAGTCATTATTAAAAATTAACTTATATAACTTTATAAATAGTTACATTAAAACAAAGGTAACAGATACTCAAAATTCATTGCTTTTTAATTATTTTATTAATTTTTGCTTTTATTCTCGAGGTTGTATATATTTATTGTACTTGTATGATGGAAATACTGTATAATACTGTGCTACTGTACATCTTTTCCTCACTCCACATTCAGTGTTATCATCTTAGTAGCTTGAAATTGGCTATGGTAGAAGTATTTACACTGTGGAAATCAGCAAACACTATGAATCAATGCCCCTTATCCCCACTCCCACCCAAGACCTGGTTTGTTGAACATACACTAGCACATCACTGTTTAGCTGCTTCTCTTAGAAAGGCAGTGGTAGGGAAAGAAATTGGTATTTTTCAAAATGGTCCACATGTGATTCTCATGAATAGTCCAGCTTTGATATAATCACATTTTCACATTTGAACTATTTCCACAAAAATTTTTCTTCATCAAAAGCAAACTGAACTGAATATTTATACTACAACATTATGTCATAAATTATCAACTTAAAATACCTAAAAAATTATTTACTTATTATCTAGGTATAGTTCATGTGTTCTGAAATGTATTTATTTCATTCTATGTGCAGATATAGGGTCTAGCTGAGAAGTGTCATTCAATAATTCACATCATGGCTGCATTAAAAAAGATACTACAATTCATCTACTAAGGTTCGCAAAGAATAAAGCAAATTTGACAACTTAGTAAAATTCACTCTTCTCATATTTTCAAAACAAGATCAACACTGAGACAGAAAAAGACAAGGAACTTAACTGTTATTTATATTTACAACACTTAAAAAAAACTGAATGTGAGGTATGTGCCAGGTATTTTACAAGTATTGTCTCACTCAATTTTCCTAATAATAAGCTATCATTTTGTCTGCTAGTAAAAGGACATGAAAATAGAGTAATAGATACATTCAGTAGGAGATAACAAAATGAGTATTTCTCAAGTGAATATAGGTGATATTGAGTCTTACTACAGAAAGCTGATTATCTTTCTTTCTTTACTAATTACTGAAGAAATAATCAAGTGTAAATTATTACATAAAAGGAGATTGTGGAGAGGAGTAAAAATGTTACATGAAAAAAGGAATTAATAATGAAACCAAAAACAATGTGCTAATTTTCTGGTATTTCTCTTAGATTTTAAGTATAAGTCTTATCCTTAGAGTGTAATTCTTACAGTGGTACAATGGATCTGGTGTTTCTCTTTTGTAAGCTCATATTATTTCTTGTTTTTTTTTTTCTTTTTAGTCACATCCTGCTCATTTTGACAAACGCAGAGTCATGTACCCAACACTGCAATCAAGATACAGACCATCTCCATAAATCCAAAGAATTCCCACCACCCCATTGTAGCCTCATGGACAACCACCAGTTTGTGTTCTCTTCTGGTAGTTTTGCCTTTTTGAGAGGGTCACATAAAATGGAACCACTTAGTATATAGCATTTCGAGTCTGGTTGTTTTCACTTAACATAATATATTAAAGACTCGTCCATGTTGTTGCATGTATCAGTGGCTTATTTCTTTTTCTTGCTAAATAGTATTACTTTGTAAGGATGTATACAAATTGTTTATCCATTTACTTGCTGATGTACAGGCTGTTTTCAGTTTTTGACAATTCCAAAAAAGTCACTTTATAAATATTCATACACAAGACTTCATGTAGTATGTTTTCATTTCCCTTGGGTAGGAGTGAGACTGTAGGGTAGTATGGTAAGTGGATGTTTAACTTTATGAAAATCTTTCAAACTGTTTTAAAGAGTCATTGTACCATTTTGCATTTTCACCAGCAATGTAAGAGAAATTTAGTTTCTCTCCTTCTTCAACAGTATTTGATAATGTCACTAAAAAAAATTTAGCCATTCTAATAGCCATGTTGTAGTATCTAGTTGTGATATTAATCTTTACTCCTCTGATGACTAGACATCTTTTTATGTGTTTAATTGTCATATGTGTATCTTTTTTGGTGATGGATTTGGTAAAATATTTGGCCAAAAATTTTGAGGATGAATTTCTTGTCTTACTATTATTGCATTGTGTGAAATTTTAAAATTTATTCTGTATTCCAGTTCTCTTTCTGATAGGTTTCCTGCAAATATTTTCTGTTAATGTGTGGCTTGTCTTTTCGTTTTCCAAACAACATTTTTGAATGTGTTTATTCACAAGTTTAAAATTTTGATTAAGACAATTTTGATTAAAAATCATTTAAAAGCATCTTTCTTTTCTGAATCACGCTTTGATTTTTTATATTAGAAGTCCATATCATTTCTATGCAATTTCTATGAAACATACATGAGGACTTACTGACTTTTAAGTAAATATTCTTACAGAATATTTCAGAGTAAGTAATGTTTTATCTGATGAACTTCTTCAAACAATGATTAGCATACACTTGGTCTACAAATGCTACATTTTCGTCTCATTTTAATTACTACCATTATTTGATCTTTCCCATTTCTCAAGTGAAGAATGCCTCTCTCCCTGAAATCATCTGCCTTCATTGGTATTCAGGAGATGTCCTGGAAAGATATTATCACTTTAGGCAAGCAATTACATCTTATTCTCTCTTGGCTAACCCTGGCAGCATACTTTAGTGATGTTCAGAATCACAGAAAATCAAGTCATTGCTATTCTACTCTAAGCTGCTATCCATTATACACCTGCCACATTCGAAGCATAATTCATATTGGACATATTTACAGCAATGGTATCCATGAATTTAAAACAAATAAAAAATAAATTTCTTACAGTTTTGTACCCATAGTCATCGTGTGAATGATTAAAAAAGAAAAAAGGAAAAGGATTAAAGTACTAAAGAGACAATGTGGGAATGATTTTTTGAAAAAGAGAGAAGGAAAAGTACTAAAAAGAGAAATCAGAAAAATTACATATGGAAATCAACTTGAATTACGTTGCAGGGTGGATATTTTAAAAATGAAAAACGTGGCACCATGTGCAGAGAGAAATGGAATCGTTTTCTTTTCACCTAAAACCTTTCTCTTCTGGTAATAATTTACTAGTTTGAAATAAAATAAGAAAACACAACAGACTGGACATAGTTTTCAAAGCCCAAACCTATAAAGGTAAACTGAATTATGACTGAGTTTAGGATCTAGCAAATCCTGGATCTATTTCTATTACCGAAAAAAAGAAAAATCAAACCTTTGAATTGTGAGATTAATATTGTTCTCCAAAAAATGAACAAATATAGATATTCCCCTGATCTTTAGTGTGTTTTAGTTACATGTGCGATCACATATATTAATCCCTCAGGTGATTATCATCTTTATCCTCAGGGCAGACAAGACAGACATTATTATTCCCATTT